GCGCGGCTCTCGCGTTTAACGCCCGTCTCCGCAGGGAGGTGCTGGGGCGTTGTCAGCCACAAAAGGCGTTTCGGGGACTGGTGTCAGCCGTCCAGGTCCAGCAGAGCTCTGGAGGTCTTGTGTCTGCGACAGGCAACCGCTTTGCCTTGTGCCATTACAGAAGGGCAGGGCCAGGGTAGCTGCAGGCTGGCACTTGCAATAAAATATTTCAAGAAACTGAAATAAAATAATAAAAGAAATGAGGAATTTCTACCTCTGGAAAACATGAGGAGAAATGGCTTTGCTGTGAGGGTGGACAAGCCTGGAGCAGCTGCCCAGAGAGGCTGGGTCGGCTGCTCTGGAGAGATCCCAAACCCTCCTGGCTGTGACCCTGGGCACCCTGCTGGGGGTGAGCTGCTGGAGCAGGGGGTGGATGAGATGATCCCCAGAGGTCCCCCCAGCCCACCATCTGAAGCAAGATGCTGAGAGCAGAGCCAGGTTTATACCCAGGGCTCAGCTTTAGAGGTGCTCTGCAGAAGCAGCCCTGAGCTCAGGGCAGCTGTTTCCAGGTGCAGTCTGGCTGTGCCTCCCCAGGCCTTGCCTCTGCTGCCAGAGCCCAGGGGCCACTTCCCTGGGTGTGGCTGCTCCCAGCTTCGGTGCCGTGGCCTCTGGAGGGGTGAGGGGCACCACTGCACTCCTGGAGACTCCCTGGTGCTGGGCACTTGTGAGAGATGCCATCAAGCTCAGCTGGCCACGACTGATAAGCGCCGGTTTATTGACATTGTCTCAACAGCCCGAGGTGCACACAGGGCAGCTCAGGACCCACAGCACCCAGGCAGGCAGCACACACCCCCGAGAGGGGCTTGCAGCACAGCTCCCCAGGCACTGCTTTTAGTGCTGCTTTTCAGAGGAAGATAAAAAAGAGTCTGACTGGTCTGACAAGAAGACAGACTCCTTCCAGGCCGCTGGGACATCCAACATCAGCCCCACCTGGACTGACTGCCAGCATCCACGTGCTGTCCTCAGAGCCCTCTCAGGTACATGCATTCCAGAAGTACAGCGAGGCTCCACCTGCAGTGAGCAGCCAGAGACAGCTTCTGTCTTCAGCTGTCTTTCTCTACACTATTTACAAGACCACTATAGAACTAACCTTGTACAAAGAGGTTTTGTAAAAAAAAAAAAAAAAATTAAAAAAAATAATCTTACTCATGTAAGAGGAGTCTCTGGGCAGTTCCAAAGCCTGGTTTAAGAAAATGTAAATATCTGGTTTAATTCTTTACTCTGGGTCAATAAAGCAAAGGAAGTTCTTGAAGGTTTCCTTGCACCTCAAGCCTGTTTCCCTGCTAGACACCAGCAGGGCCTGTCCTTGTGGAGGCACCACACCAGAGCTCCAGAAGCAGGGAAATGGGTCCTCACGTTTTCAGTCATTACAGACTTTCAGCCTTCTTTTTGTAACTGTCCAGAATCCTGGTCAGGGCTGACAACAGATCTTCAGACATGAATTCTTCATAGTCTCTGTCAATTTTCACGTTCTGTTCATCAAGGTATTTCTAGAGAAGAGTTACAGAAAGTTTGTCATCAGCACTCTCATGGTCTCTCTCATACAGCTTCTGCTAAAGCATTTCCAGCCATTGTTGCCCAGGGGAAGCAGTTTCAGTTCAACACTTCTCTGGAAGAAGCAGATTAAACCTGGCAGCACGTTACTGCTGAAATTTACTGGTCAGTTCTGATGATTTATACCACAGGTTTTGACAACACATTTAACTAGAATCAGTTAAACAGACTAAGTGCAGCAGCCCTAAACTGACACTTTACTGGAAGGACTTAGTTCTCATTTCCAGGTGTTCCCACAGCTGCACATGTCTCTAGAAAGGTTTAATACTGAACATCAAATTTTAGCTCACCTCTATGGACACTACATGAGTAGCAATCACTTCTAGGAGACGATTCAGGTTGCCACCAGCTTTCCTGCTCTCTTCTGTCCTTGTCTGCATAACAACCTGGTACCTGCAAAGTGAAGACACTCAAAGTCACACCCATGATTATGAAATCCCTGAGATCCAAAACTATCACTTCAAGTCTGATACATCTTCACATTTAGCTGTATTTTTTTCTATTAGTATTACCTTGAACCAAGTTAGATTTATATACACTAATACTCATAAGAAAAAGGACTGAACTGTGCTAACTGGTAAGAAACAAAGAACCTTAGACTGGAGTCAGACTAGAGTCAGACCAGTCACTTTACAGACTTTAAACTGTAAAATGTCATTGTCACAAGTTTGGGAACAAACCAATTTCCTTACTACAGCCACACACATGAAAAGAATTACATGGAAAACAGGAGCTCTGATACAGCAGACAAATATCCTGGCAAAGTGTCAAGTGTTGAGGCAAAACACCTTTCAGCTGTGACCTTGTGAAATTCATGTACTGAGAGGGATTCTCCCTCCCAATGACTTTAGATAAGGAGTCAAGAAAATGTCTTTGTCCTTAAAACACCCAACACCCAAAATACACAACAGAGAAAACCTGCAGTTATGGGCCTTACTGTCGTTGGAGGTCATGCAGTTCATTTGTGGCTTCACTGAGACCTTCATTGACACCACTCTCGAGCAGTTGTTTATGTTTCTCCAGCAGTTCCAGTTCATTGGCACATTTTTGCTCTTCCTCTTCTGCCTCCTGCAAACAAAGAAAGAGGAGAAAAAAAAATTAATTGCCTAACTCAAGAACAGATAGGATTTTTTTTCTCCTGTATATTACCCAATTACATCCTGATACTTGAATTCAGCATTCACAGAATTCCAAACTCAGGACTAAAACCACCCCAGGACTTCTCCCCAGACCTCCAGTTTCAGGTATTTTCTGTATCATCTTCTGCCCAAACTCAGACTAACGTTCCCTATATTTCTCTAACCATATTTCAGTCTTTGCTGCAGCTCTTTTCCCTTCAAAGTTCATCTCAAGAAGTGTTACTACTGACTTGTAATATTGAAGTCTAGTAGAGAGCATTTTAAAGATGACACAAGGAATTACATGGCTGTCTTGTTATGACCACCCAGCTGCACCCGAGTATTTTATGAGCTCACCTTAAGACAAAAGCAGCTGCAACAGCATAGATTAAAAGCCAAATTTCAGGTGGTTTTGAATATAATAAGCTAAATGTCTTGCCTACAACCACCTAAGGAGCTGTTAGCACTGCAGTGACCCTGCCCCAGGGCCACAGCACTGGAGCTGGGTGTGAAGGAGCAGATCTGTGAAACACCAGCTTGGCTCAAAGAGCCTTTTCCTGCTGCCCCCAGAGCTGTGTTGTCAGAGGAGGCTGGAGGGACTGCACCAGCACCTCCCTGCTAACCACCAGGGCTGTCTCTGCTGCTCAGCTAGGAGTGAAGCAGCAAAGAAACACTTCTATATCATTAATGTGCTTTCAGACAAATAATAAAATAATCATTTTGTGGGCTTTTAGTCAAATATTTTCTGTAGTTTTTAACAGAACTAAACACATTTACTAATGAGTGTTTATTACATACAAATGGAACAGACAAGGCAGACTGTTAACTCCATGATCTCCTTCAAGGCCACACTTTGAGCCCTCCCAAGGTCAGGAGATGATTCCCACTGCTGTTACTGCTGCAGGTAGCAGCTTATGGTTCATGGCACCTGCCAAAGTACCAGGCCAGATTCTCTCAGGAGAAACTGAAAACTCACTCATGGTAGCACTGAAATATACTAAAAAGAATGAGAGAATCCTGCAAGAGGGATGAAGGAAGCAGAGGGAGGGGCAGAGTCCAAACAAAAATGCAAGCCAAAAACTTAGATATGAATAAAAATATAATGAATATAATGATAAGCTGTCATCAACCAAAAAGGTTTACCTTAAGCTTCTGCTGGTAGAGATCATCCAGCTTTTCAGCCTCTTCTTTCAGCATTTTCACACTGTTTTTCTTGTCCACTACCATTACATTCACCTAGAATGAACACAGGACCAGGAAAATAATGCAAAAATAATTCCAGCCTATAAATCCATGCTGGCACAAATGGCACGTGGCAGCCCAGAATCATTTAGAACAGGCCAGGCTGGGATGGCCTTAGCTGTTTCCACAGCAGCCTGGGGTGCTTTGGTTTGGACACGTGGCTGAAGCAGTGTTGGTGAGACACCAGTGCCCAGAGGACAACTTGTCAGTGATGGGAACCACAGGACAGACTGAAATGGGCAACACTAAAACAAGTCTTTCCAGTGTGTATGGCCAAAGGTATGCAAGCTGCATAATCCTCAGAGCAGGGAATACACATTTCAACCAACAGGAGACCCTAATTCTCACAAACACTTTTAGATTTCATCATAACTAAAGCACTCTTCTCACAGCTTTCCTCCCCTCCTCTCAAAAACACCCAACAAAAAACACCAACAAACCAAAGCCAAGCAAAAAGGCACCCACCACCCCCAGCTCCACCCCTGCAGAAGGTGGGATGAGCCCAGCAGGTAGGATCATGGGGTCTCAGTCCTCATCCTCAGCACCCCTTCACACACCTGCTCCAGAGTATCCTCCAAAGTCATCTTCCGCTGCGTGGCTTTCCGGATCTCCTCCTCAGTCTGGTTGATGATCTCCATAAGGGGAGCCTGTAAGACATGCCCAGGAAGATCTGGCTGGTGCAGCCTGTGAGGCTGAACTGAGCTGTACCCCAGCACATCCTTCCCCTCTCCTGTTGTTATTTAGGCTGCTCCAATACCAAATTCCCTTCCTACACTATAACATAGTTATGGCAACACATCACACAGGTATCACACTGCCAGTGAGGTTTCACAGAGAGGCTGAGAGGGACTTTTCCAACAAAACAGGGTTTTTTGGCATGTGGCAGCACAGACATTTGGTGCTGACTCTGCTTACCTTGATCTGAGTCCTGTACTTGACTAGGCAGTTTGGCCCTGCCTCTGGGTTAAACTGAATCGTGAAGTCGTGGCCTTTGGAATTCTCAGCACTCACTGGAATTAATTTCAGCTTCCGAGCCAGTTTATGATACTCTGCCAGCTGCATTTCAATCTGTGCACAGGAGAGAGGGGCAGAAATCATAGCAAGTGAAAAGCTCTGCAAGCAGCATTGATCTATACTTCACAGGGGTCCCGAGTGGCTCTGTGCTCACAGGACTCCCTGCCCTGCTGCATGCCCTGGCAGTGCAGCACAGGCTGGGTCACAGAGCAGTGGTTCCCTCAGGGGTTGTTCTCCCGGGTTCCTCAGTGCCTGTGGGCCAGACTGAACCCTTCCACCCATCGTTTCCCTGCTCACCTGCCTTATTTCTCCCTGCCCCAAGGATTAGCTGACAGAGGAAGGACAAGATGCTTGGGAAGGACACAGGCAGCTAACCCCACGACTGGCCTGACGCTGATGTGCCTTCTCTCCTGGGTTCTGACAGGAACTGCCCCATAGCCACACACCCCAGTGCCAAACTAACTCGAGCACTCTGCTAGGCAAAGCTTATTAAACACCCTGTGGCCTGGATGATGAGTGCCATGGACATGCAGACACCAAATATCATCAGTGCTTTTCCAGGCTTTTGCAGTTTAACTGAGTGCTGGATGAAACATAACCCTACCAAACACAAAACACGTTGCAAGCTTTTGGTTTTAGTTCTCTATCTAGCAAAGCAGAAGCTTTTAAATCCCACCACTTACAGGGCCACACTTTTTTGTTATGCCTAAGGAAATTGAATCTGGCCCTTAAAAACCATTACAAGTCCCACATAAGGGACTGATCTGGCCCTAAATGTGTGCAGAGATCCTGATTCAAAGCACTAGCTTTGCATTACTTCCTTGCTATGGAATTTTAGCACTAGCCTGAGATGGATTGTGTTACCAAAGCCATCTCAGGCTCCTGGCAGCAGAGCTCCTGATGCTGTAACAGAGCTGCCAGTGGTGCAGGTGCTGGCTCTGTCCCTTGCCATGCAGGAAAAAGATATGGCAAGCATACATTTCCATTATGCTCAAAACAGAAAAGAGGTGAAAAAAAAGACAACCACTTTTCAGAGATAATAAACAGAAGCAATTCTTGTCACTGCAGCCTATGAAGACATATCCATGCTGCTGTTATTTAGGAAAGAAGTTTGCAGCAGCCCAGGTTTCAGTTGTGTGAACACTGACAGCCACCTCCCAGTGCCGGGGGATTCACGTACCGCCTCTTTATTCCTTGCATATTTTATCTCTTCATTCCACAGCTGGTGTTCTTCTGCTTCCACTTCCTTAGTCAGCTTGTTAATGGTCTGCTGCAGCTCATTCCTCTCATGATTGATCCTCTCAATGTCTGCAACCGAGTACTTCTGGTTCTCAAAGATGTGCTGGAGCCGGGCGTTCTCCTGCTTCATGGCTTCTACTTCCATTTCTGGAGTTCACAAAACATTGCCAAATGGATGTCAAATAACAGCCTAGGCACTTGAACCTAATCTCTCTGTAATTTTCCAAGTAAATAATATTTGTAATTCATTACTGTATAAACAACTATCAGACAAAAAAAAAAATCTCTCTATTAGCAATCCATTTTGGAAAGGTTCTTTGCAGCATCATCACACACAACACACCTCACTCTGTCCTGGAGCCAGGGATCACAAGTATTTTAAAGTTTCTTCCACCTTCACTACCCATTTGTGCCAAGGCTGCCTCACCTGCTGCCTCAACCTCCTCAGTAACGCCCTCCAGCTTCTGGTCCAGGATGGAGATGTGGGACTCCAGGTTGGCCAGGTAGGCCTGGTACTTCTGCACGTCTGCCTGCAGGGAGGACCTCACGTTGCGCAGCGACACTCTGCGGTCCTGGCACAGGGGAGGGGAGACAGCCACTGTCAGTGGCACTGACCAAACAACAGCCTTCAGAGAGAATTGGTTCTACTTCTATAGTAGAAAGGTGGATTTAAAAGAACTTGAATACATTTTTATCTCTGACAGTTAAATCAAGGTAAGCGGCTTTAAAATAATGACAAAAAAAGGCTGAGAGGATGGTTTGCACCTTAATTCCTGCATTTAGTTTGCAGTTTGCATCAGGCATTGTGTTAAGTTCTTAGTCCAGGTAATTTACAACTTAATTAGAATAATACACAAAGGACAGATAAAACTAAAAGCAAGGAAATACAAGCAGCAGTCTCAGGGTGCCAGCTGCACAGCCACTAAACCATTTTTAAACTCCTGACTTACTAAAAGCAGAATTCATCTTCTCAAAAAGAACCATTTTGCCTAAAATATATAGTTACCACTGAATCTTGTGCTCTCATCCCCTGAGAAGATCTCATACCAATGCTTTTGGAAAAGAGAATGTTGAAGTTCAGGGAAAAACAAAAAGAAGTGGTTCAAGTATTTTATTAATATTTAATTCAGCGCAAGATCTCGTTACCTGAAAATACCCTCACAGTATCAAACGAGCAGTGGCCAAAGACTCCACGGTGAATGCCTCATACTGTAGTGGTGTAGTCTGTGATAATCTGGCCTAATTAAAACCCCACAGAGCACTGAAAATAATTGTCCATTTGTTGTAATGTATCATCAGTATCTTCATTTACTGACGAGAGCAGTGGTCAGTACCAGAAGCTCAGCCCCCCAGGTAGGCAGGCACGGACAGGGATCACTCACCGGCTCGCTCTCTTTTTCTTTTTCTAGTCTTGCAATCTCTTCTTGAAGCCTTTTGTTGTCAGCTGCTAAAACTTCTATCTGGAGTTCATCTATATTAAATAAATCCTCTGAGGGAAGAAAACAAAGAGGGGAGGTGGTTACAAATTAATCTCACTGAATATCATAATCTCATCTGAATATCTGCACCTTAACTTCAGCACGAGACAGACCCATTATCTGCAGTTAATTTAAGCTAAAAAAAAACCAAAGAAACCCCAAAACACTCTGAACCCTTAAAAAAAAGCCCTTTAATTACAAAGTAGGCTGTTTCCAGAGCTTTTAGATGCTGAATGTTCACTCATCAGATGTGCATCCTCTGGTAAACACTTTTCTAGTATTTAGGAAGTATCTAGGAGAGGGGAACCCAGTAAGACATGTAAACACTTCACTGAAGCACAACTCACTCAATTTTGACTGCACTTCTGCATCCAGTTCTTCAAAAGTATCTCTCCCTTTCATGAAGAGCTCGTAGCACTTCACAGCATAGTCCATGAAAAGCTGAAAACAATTTTAGAAGCTTTCATTTCAGTGATTCAAAGGGCTGGAAAATATCTGGAGAGCCTAAACCCACCCAACCAATGGAATTAAACAGAGAACAAAAATATCTCTCACTGATTTGACTACATCCCTGTCAAAAGCAACCTTTTTTCCTCCTTCTAAACACAGAACCTCAGATTACATTCAGGCAGGAGGCACCCAGAATTCACACTAAGGGCCTGGAAATACTTGATGCATTTTTCTGGGACACTGAACAAGGAGAGCAGACACAGCACTGCAGGATTTATTCCCCTGAAGCACATGATGCTCCTAGGCTGCTTTATGGAAGGGGCAGGTATGTTTGGCAGACCTCTTCACTATGCCTCAGATGTGCAGGTGCCAGAGACCTGGTCTAGAGTTCAAGAAAGGTTAGCCAAAAAAATTACTGGAGCCTTGAAATGGCAGATCTCTCAGAAGCAATTACACCAGTAGTATGAATTTTGTTTCAACATACTGACATATCTGAGTTTGGAAGCTCATGTTCCAAAGCATTTTTTGACAAAATGCTTTTTTAATGACAAGTTACAAACTTGCCAACTGCCAGGTTTGTAACCTTAATCCGAAATTCTGATTTAATTTGATTTTTGCAATTTTCTAATTAAATGTTCTGACACAACCCCTTCCAAACAGCTGCTGTAAGTCAACACCAAGTTAAATCTGAATAGTCCTATTAGCCTACAACAAATTGGCAAGAAAGCAAGCTGCTGGACTTTTCAGTGCCTGGATTACATTGCCACCCTATCTTGTGGCTCAGAAATTAAGCATTACATCCAATTTTCAAATGGTAAACTGAGTAGATATCAGCAGGAGCCACCACGTTTATAGTTGTCTACATTGTACTGCTGTTAAGCTTAGAAGACTGAAGAGAAATACAGGTGAGACCCTCCTGAGACAATAAACCAAGGGCAGGACGACCCCCTGTCTGGCAGGGCAGAGAACAAGGCACTCTGGTTTCACATCCAGCCTTTCCCAGCAGACTGGCCACGAGGCCTGCTCAGGAAACTGCTTTTTACATGCTACTACTCCTCCAAGAGGACTCTGTGACTATAAAAACTGGACAGAATGAATGAATACAGCTACAGCTGTTGTGCCTCGTTCACCTGTGCTGTGCAGCCCGTGGGAGAGCTCAGCTGGAGGGTTCTGAGGGCATTTATTGCCACAGTACCTTGTTGTGCACGATGCCGTCGTCGGTCTCCCCGCCCCAGCCCTGCCCCTCCTCGAAGGAGGGGGCATGTTCCCTCATGGCACTGTACAGCTGCAAGGCAGGAGCACAGGGGTTAGGGATGGCAGGGCACAGAACAGGGGTGAGGATTTCATCCTGGCCGACTGGAGGCACAGGAGGGGCCAGAGCCCTCTTCCCAGCCTCAGCACTGGGCTCCCACTTCAGCAGGGCTGAACTTTGCCACACAGGCCAACGTTGCCCAGACCTGAGCTGGCAGCAGCAGAGTTACAACTGCTTAAAAAACCCAATCAAACCCTCCCTCAGTACAACAGTCACAGAACACCTGAATAATTGCTGTTGAGAATTCCATCCATTTAAGAGTTCTGTATTGAAACTAACATTCCAGCCTGAACAGTGGAACTATTTGGGTTAAGGAAGGAAAAGGCTACCTTGACACACTCAATTAACCAAACCAGAGCTGCCACGATCTGAGGCCACGTGTGTGGAGCTCCCACTGTGTACATGGAGCTCTTTGACAAAGCAAAGGGGTACCTGCAAGGCAAACAAAGAGACATCTTTAATAGCTGCAGCAAACAGCCATGACAAAAACCAGCACATCTCCACATGCAGACTGAGGCACAGAAAGAACACTCTGTTGTCCTCTACACTGCACATCACAGGGAGAGCAGCTGAGCTTACAGCAGCCTTTACTCAGTTACCATGAGCTGCTCATTCTGTTATGCACAGAGTATCTGGAGGTGAACTTGATGATCCTTACAGGTCCCTTCCAATTCCCTGCTCCTCACAGGACTACCTGAAACTGAGCCACAGGACTGCCAGCATGGGCCAGGTGCCCCCTGCACTCTGACAGGCTCGGTGCCTGCTGTTTCAAGAACATAGGACAAGAAGCTACTGATAAACTGACAGTTCTGAGAAAGCACTCACGAGCCACTCAGCCTGAGAATCTTTTAAAACTAATCATTTGAGTCCATTTTCAAACTCTCAAAAGACAATGTAAAGGGAGTTCTCAGAATAAGCCTTTCTATCCAGGATTACACCCTTGGAGCAGCAGAGTGAAGCCTCCTGAGAGCAGCTTCCTTGTCAGCACCTCAGCTAGGCCAGAAGCTTCAAATGCTACAGCTTAAACCAAAACTGTATTAAAATACTGAGAAGTGGACTGAACAGATTTGTTTCTCCATCTAAGGAGCCCCAGTGCTTTGACTCCATCAGAGCCTCAAATCTACAGAAGCAAAATACACTTTGCCTTTTTTTTTTTAATGAGACTGAAAATTCACTATTATCCCAAGGCAGAGGATTTTCTTTCTTGAGAAGTGTTGTTGCATTAATTATTCCAAACACTTGAACAAATTAGAGATAACACACCCAGCTACTCTGGGTCTCTTTCACCTCAGTGGTCTTTGTTATTTCCACTCCCTGCTTTGAAAGCAGAATGAGGGAAATTACAGGAGAAATGATTTTTGACTAAAGGAAATGGATCCAACATTCTGAAATTGTTTTTTAGTTCTTAAATTTTAAGAGAATGAATCAGAAGAGTCTGTAAAAAAAAATAAATGTGTCTGTCTCTCAGAGTTTAATACAAATAAAGATGATTAATTAGATTTTCAGTTACGAAGCAAGCTTCCAAGAGCCTATAGTTCAAATATAAACCGTAGTCTGAGAATCAGAGTCAACTCAGAGCTAAACAAAAATGAAACAAAATAATCTCAGCATGGTGGTTTCAGAGTTTCAAGGGAGTAAAGGACTCTCTCCACTCTCCCCAGCTGTCCTGCACAGTTTTACACTTCTAGCTGCACCACATCTGTTTAGCAGCACAGCCCAGCAATGACCTTACCCGAGCTCTTTAAAAACTTTGGGGATTTCCTCTTCAAATTTTGAGTCGGGAAGCTCGTAGGAAGGGCAGAGAAACCCATAGATAAAGGTGAAGATTTTTAAGAAGTCCTTGACGGACGGAGACTGCAGGGACTTCACGGAGACGTTGTGGGCGTAGCCGTTCTCTGCCAGGAACTGAGGAGAGACAGGGCCTGGTGGTCACTACCCCAGAGCTCAGGGAGCAGCCATGGAAACCAAACACTTTGGGGAGCACCCCTCACGCCTACCTCGCAGAGCTGCTTGATGCACTGCTGGATGAAGGCCTTGTCGTGGAGGGGCCGCGGGTCCTTGATCTTCTCCGTGCCGAAGACGCCGAACTGGCTGCTGCGCGCCCCGCTGGCCCTGGGACAGGGGGACAGGGCTGGTCACAGGGAGGGACAGGGCTGGTCACAGGGAGGGACAGAGGGATGGCCACAGGGCCTGTGACAACAGGGACAGGGACGGTCACAGGGAGGGACAGAGGGATGGCCACAGGGCCTGTGACAACAGGGACAGGGCTGGCCACAGGGCTACCCCAAAGATGGAGAAACAAAATGGTGTAGGTGGTTGAAAGACTGAAATAATTCAGGAATGACAGGGCTGGTCACAGGGAGGGACAGAGGGATGGCCACAGGGCCTGCCACAACAGGGACAGGGCTAGTCACAGGCCCTGCCACAGGGATGGTCACAGGGCCACCCCAAAGATGGAGAAACAAAACGGTGAAGGTGGTTGAAAGACTGAAATAGTTCAGGAATATTTAAAAGGGATAGATCCCTAAAACAGTGGTGTCCTGACAGAAGATACCAGCAAGTCCTCACAGAAAGCCATGAACCCCTAAAGGTTACAGGAGTTCGGGAAGTTTGCATCTTAGAGAGAAGAAAGCAAGGCAGAGTGCACTGGAAATATCTCCTGTCCTTAAACAGGCAAATACATTGAGGAGCTCTTAAGGCCTGCAGCAGATCTCACTCCCAAGAGGAAGGGCAGCTCTGGGAGCCAGCCCTGTGCCACCCCTGTGCGGAGGGCAGAGCTCAGGGGCTGCTGGCCCCAGGCCCCTGCTCCCTGCAGCACAGCCCTGCCCAGGCAGCACAGCTGCACACAGACGTGGCACTGGGGCTGGTGTAACCCACAGGGCAGAGAGGTAAAGCTGCCAGTACCTCTTCCCAAAGAAGCTGACTTTCCTCTCCGACGTGGCAGGTGTCAGCTTGCTCGAGCTCGGCTTCCCAAATGTCTCTCTGTTCTTCCTGAGGGACACAGAGGAGTTGAGTGACTGTTTGCACCGTTCCACCTTTGCTCATAAGAAAACTAGCAACACGTGTGTGCCAGCAGAGCAGCTGCTCTGAGAAGTCACTGATGGGAGTGCACTGCACCCCCATGAGCAAAACTGCTCGGCCAGAAGGGTTACAAGTCCCCATTTTATGCACACCCCCCCCAGCCACCTCCACAGGAGCACCTGAGAGAGCACGTTGCAATTTGGAATGTATCACGGGCACACAAACAGGTTAAGAAAGCTTTTGGCAGAGACAGAGCATCCACTGTGCACAAACCCCTGGCTGCCAGGAGCTCTGCTCTCGCTGCTCCCACGGGGTTTTAGGTCACCCCTCACCCACTCAAGCACGTCTCTGCAGCGTTAGGTGTTTACGCCTGCCCAGGAAGCCGCTCGGCAGCACTTACATCTGCGGGGTCTGCAGGCCCATCCTGTTGCTGTCCTGCACCCGCAGCGCCAGCATGGATTGCCGGCC